CAGGAATGGGCAGAAATGGCATTCCGAGAGTAACAAGTAAACTCCTCCCCACCTCATTTCCCATCGTCTCACCTCCAAGCGGGGTATAGGGAAGGGGGAGAGAAAGGGAACCCAGGAGAAACTCTTGCATGACAGTGGGGCCAGCGCTGGCCATGCTGCCAGGCAGAAACATCTGAAAGGAGCGTGCCACCTCTGCAGAGCGACTCCAAAGACTGAGGGAGTTTAAAGTTTAAATCCCCCCTCTCTGGAGTCACACGGCAGTGGTGGCACGCTCCCTTCATTGAAGGGAAGGCAATTTGCCTTCTTTCAACGATGGGAACCTGCCCCCGCCAGCCCCCCCCCCCCGTGACTGGGAAGGATCTTTATACCCTATCGAGACAGTCCCCGATCTGGTTTGGATCTTACTCAGCTAAGAATGTTTTCTCATGAAGATGTTTTTGGCTGACAAGATCAAAATATTTTGGCGATTCAAACATGACTGAATGGCTAACAACAACGTTTTTAATTTCAGCTTTTGTAGGAACAGGTCTTGTTTGTTTATGGATCCAACTATCCACAAATTTGGCCATGTCAAGAATTAAATGGATTATGATCGATTTATACTTTGATTTTGCCAACCAAAAACATCTTCATGAGAAAACATTGTTAGCTGTGGAAGATTCGGACCAGTAGGGAAGTACCTTGCCATCCATCATCAATGGCAGCTGAAAATACATTGGGTCAACCCTCACTCATAACAGAAGCAGCACCTATATAAAAGCAATTCTCTCAGTGGCCATTGTCAACCACAGCAGTATTTACAGCCTTCAAGGATTTGTTTCTGTCAGTAAAATTTGGGGGGAGAGCGCATGTCAGGCCTGACAGCGGCCACTGGACAACTTGACACCATGCAGCCTGCAAAACTCATGCAGACCCAGCTGCTTGCTACTGCTCAACAGCCACTGCCCCATGAAGTGTTGTGTAGTGGTTAGTGTTTCAGACAAGGATTTGGGAGACCCAGGTTTGAATCTGAGTTGGGAAATACCTGGAGATTTTTGGGGTGGAGCTTGAGTGGTAGGTGTTGCCTTCTGACACACTACCGGTGATGTCAGGGGGTGTGGCACATGCAAATAAGTTATGCTAATGAGCTTCTGCACCTCTTTTTCTACTAAATGCCCCGTGTCTTCATTAAAACTTTACAAGCAGGGGACCCAAAAGGACTTCCCAAGGGAATCTCATTTTTCCTTTCCTCACTATTTCCTCTTTCCCTGCCTCCTCTCCTTCCTACCCACCAGCCTACTTTTATTTACCCTATTTTCAGCTTTTCCTCCTTCCCTCTACCAGGAAAAAAGGGAAAACTCTGCCTAAGTGCTGGCCAGCTGAACCTGAGCTATTTGCATAGTGGAGAATCCACAAAGATTTGGCACACCTCACTTTCCCCTGTATCCCCTTCCCCACGTTTCCTCTCTCTCTCCTCCTGGCAGCCCCCATATATTCTCATATTTCCTTGCTTTCTTCTGTTTTCCCACTTACTGAACCTACCCGTTATCTGCCCTTTATCTTCAGCTATACTTATTTAATTACTTTATTTATATCCCAGCTTTCTTTACAACATGGACCCAAAGCAGCTTACTTCATTCTCCTTTCCTCCACTTTTCTAAATTTTGTGATAACAGGATCACATTATTAGTTATCATATTTTTCTATGTAATATGTAAGGACCATTTGTATTTTTATTAATTATAATATACAGTAGCCATAAATCACAGTGATTGCTTGTTATTAGGTTTTTACACTGTGATCTCAGTTTGTTTTTCTGTTGAACAGTAACAAGCAACTGAGCCTGGGTGAGTCATGCAATTTGCACAGTAGCAAGTTGTCCAGTGCTTACTGCCAGGCCTGGCCCCAATGAGTCCTCCCTCAAAGGCTGAACAGGCCCCTTTCCATCCCTCTGCTGTTTGCTGAGAGAAACCAAGGCTTGAATACTGTTGTAGCTGCCTAGCAACAGCCACTGAAAGCATTTGTTTCTTAAAGATACAGGCACTTCTTTTATTACTTTTTTGTTCTTTCTTTTCTTTTAGATTTCAGATCTTTCCCAAAACCTGTTTTTTTTGGGGGGGACCCCCCCATTTTCTTCTGCTCTATTTTTTGCATCCTATTCTCATTAGGTTAACAAAGATTCTAACATAAATACAGGATACAATATCACAACAGAAACTGAATGTACTTGTGAACACTTTGGCTTTAATCAGATTTAACATCCCTCTTTTAAAATTATACACTATATTTTTCTGCCTCGTTTAAACATGCTAAACAGTTAAAACGGCACGAGTAGCTAGATGATTCATTCTCTAATTTAGTAATGATTTCTCTGGTGGAAAAAATGTTCATGTACTTTTACTCTTTCAATACTAACTAATCAATTCTTGAACTATAACTATGAGCACTTTCACACACACTGAATAATGCACTTTCAATCCACTTTCAGTGCATTTTGCATCTGGATTTTACTGTGTGAAATGGCAAAATCCACTTGCAAATGATCGCTAAAGTGCTGAGAGTGCAATTTTCAGTGTGTGTGGAAGTGCCCTATGTTAGGAGGGATGCTGCAAAAACAGTCTTATTACTTATAGAAAGTGACCTTTTCTACACTCCCGAAGAATTTAAGCAGATATTGCCTATTTACCCTAATATGTGCCCAAATGTTATAGGTGTTGGTATCCATATGCAAGAAAAAAGTTTCTAGAATAGTATGTGGATATTATTGGCTACACTGGATGTAGTTTATACATGGCAGCAGAAGACTACTACCAGGGACTGCCACATTTACTTCAAGCATGGGATTTTAAGATCATCATTTATTAAACTGAAAATGTGCCAATAAATCCAAAGAGAGACTACTTAACTCAAGATGTCTGAGTGTGCAGCCGTGGAAACACAGGACGGCCACAGCAACCCACCATCTCTGTTAATCCAACACATATACTCAGAAGCTCCACTTATTTGAAATGGGACATTTGTTTAGGATCACACCCTAATCCCCAATGAAGTTGTGCCAGCAAACATTAAAGCATTACTTTAGAAAGAGCTAAAGAGTTCCTGGCATACAATTTATATTTAAACTTTTCTTCAGGAACTTAATGTTGTGTGTCTGGAATCTGACTACTGTATTTCATCTTTTGATGTTTAAACTTTGCAAGAAAGTGCTTATGGAGATTACTGCATATATGATACTGCATTTATATAATGCTGTTCTGAGAACAAAGTATAATTTGAACAAACTCAGCTATTAAATATAAATGGGCATACGTATAAAACTCAAAGTCTCTCTAGTCGCCTTTATTTGTATTCATAACTCTACAAGGTGTTCAAGTAGTGTGATTTAATAAATGCATACATACATTTAATCTTTGATTCACATGCTTTATTTACATTTGTCTACAGAACTGTATCTTCATAGAACAAACCAGTACATTTTAATTCAAGCCAAATGAAACCATAATTTTTTCCTTAGACCTCTATAAGCTACCACTTGCCAAAGTTAAAAACCATCTGTTACAATACTTAGGAATACAAAGCACAAGAATAACTTTTAACATGTAGCATCTAGCAAGTCAGATTTTCACAATTTAATAGACAGACTTTCAAGAAGTCAGAGGCACAGTTACAGGAGACTATCTGTTCTTGTGCAATCTATGCTACATTAAGCAATTTAAAAAACCAGATAGTTAAAGAGATAGCTAAAGCAATAAAGCAATTGCAGGGCACTTTTTTCTGCAAAATTTATCCAAAACACTTCTACAGCAAAAGAAACATTTTGCTTTGTCATTGATCAGTCTGAAAGAAGTGTAGGATGTTCTGAGAAGGAAAATATAAGACTAGTATGCTCCGTTTGTCTTTGTACATCTTGCTTTACAAAGCAATGTTCTATATGAAAACTGAAGACATATTGCTTCTTTTCTAGAAACACTATTCTCCTTTCACATACTTACCTTGGGATGTCGCTGAAGAGGATACATTTCTCCCAAGCAAATGGAGCTTAAAAATGGCCAGTATTTAACAAATATTGCTAGTAAAACAAATTCTATGAAGCATTTTAAGCCACAAATTTGCATTAGTATAATAAAATTACCTGCAGTGATCTGTGATTACAATTATGCTGAAGTATTCATTTCCTTTAAGAGTTACAAACCTGAAAGAGTTCCTGCCAAGTCTGAATTCAATTTCTCTTATTGACATACAGAAAGTGATTTCAGTATTACATTCCAATACCTTTACGAAAAGGCTCCAGAAGATCTGAATAAAAGCAATTCTTGATCCAACTTTTAAGACTTCCTTGTACTTTAATAACTATGCTCTAGCTCTTCAATTTTGGGTGGATCCGAAGTTTCTGCACACAGAAAGTACACCAATTTCCATTCTGACTGCAGCTGTTCACACCAAATTCTTGAGAATGTTCTTTGTGAGTGATGACTCAAGGGCTGAACTAGAAAATGGTCATCTCAACAGCACTGATGCGCACAGAATACCACATGCACTTCTTTGGATCCCAGAAATTACGTTCCAAAGAGACTATAAAACTATGAATTAGAATGTGACAAGACCTAATTCACAGAGCTGAAGCTTATGCATCATGCAAGTTTCTTCGAAACCATGCCATTAGGAAATACTCACAGATGTACTATTCAGCTCAAAACTGTACATAAGGGTTTTTTTGTTTGCAAAATTTGCAAACAGCTGTATAAGGCAGCATATCTAACTGCTGGTATCTTACCTAAGGAGAAGAGGTATTTTTTGTTTATCAGGATGTGAATGAAATCTTTTCTTACTGTTCCATGTGTTTCTTGGAAGGATGAAGGAAAAAGAATCAGTCCAACTTTGGTACAATTGGTGTGTGTACACATCCATTTTGATCTGGACATTTCTGTACCTAGCAAATGTTAAGGCTAAGCAGCAAATCAGAACGGAGCATACAACGCTCTCAAGAGACCACAAATTAATAAAACAGAACTATAACATTTTCAAATCCAGTCAAATAAAAATGGAGCAGGCATACATTTTTTGAAAGAAAAGCAGAGCCATACTACTCACCTTTATTGGGTTAATTTATGGCTTAAAATGTTTCATTATTTTTGTTTCATAGCTGCAGGTTTCCATTAACATGCACCTCTACTAGCAGATTTAGCACTTCTGACCAAGTAAGACACCAACTTCTTAAAAAAAATGTCTCATGCACTGGACTAGATGGTTTGTGTATGAGTATAAATCTGAATTGATTATTTCTTTTTAGAACTTGTACGGGATCCAGAATGAGAAGATCCAGATGAAGACCTGCGGTTCCTGTAATGAGAAAAATGAGAAAAAGCATGCAAACAAATTTGAGTTATTATGATCTTTGCCCAAAGCAGAAAAGAGGAAAAAATGGGGCAATATATAAACCGTGGATATAATTATTTGGTCTATCTCTGTACTGCAAGTACTGAACAAGTCCACAGGTACAGCTTTTGTTATTACGAATATTTTAGCAAAAATAGCTACACAAGGAACATTCTACATTTTTTAAAATAAACCCTTTTCTAGTAAACTCAGAAGTTACAAATTACATATTTTAAAGCTATGATTTAGAAAAAGATGGAGCCAGGTGGACTAAAGTGCATACAAATGGGAACAGTTATCTTCAAACACTCAGTACCCAAATACTCAACTTTTCCTAGCTCTCACATATTCAATCAATGTATAAAGACCAACCATTCTTATTCTACAGAAACCCAAACCTTTCAGGTGACCGTGATCTCGTTCGCCTTTTTTTGCGATCACCAGATGAAGATCTAGATCGACTTCTCTTTCGGCTTCTCTCAGGGGAAGAGGACGAATGAGAGCTTGAGTAAGATCTTTTCCTCGGGGTTGATGAACCCCTGATGGACCTGGAGCTGGATCTTTATTAAGAAATAAGGAAGATTTAAGCCTAGTACAAATAATGACCAAAAAACCCCCATATTATATATCACTTAAATGACAAATAGATAACAAAGAATCAGGCTGAGGCACAAATACTTACTGCTGTACTAACAAGGAACTCAATAACCTCAGAAAATGTTTCTCAAGCATGGGCCTCTGGCTTAATTTTGGAATTCATAGCTTGTCCAGCTTCAAAGCCACTTTTGTTACTGATAACTGGTAACAATAAGGAAACCTTTAATGTTACTTAATTTAAAGCTTCAATCTCAATAGAAGACTGAAGGAAGAGCACAGCATATGCAAAATAAACTTCCTCTATATTAAAAGAATGGGAGAATCAGCTTAAACTTGGAAACTGTATGCAACCTACCATAACCTTTGAAAAAAGTTTCTGGTGAAGTTGCTAGAAAGGGTATATCATCTCCATGCCTGCAAATAGTATCTACTGTGCTGCTATCTAGAAAAAAACAGAATACTTTCCCCTGGGGTGGCAAAAAACCTGCAGTTGTTCAGTAGTGAGAGACAGGCACACTAGGCATTCTCAGAGATACTTTTCATATTCAAGGATTTAGCCCTAATGTTGGAAACACCTCCAGTGAATTCCTGGCACAAATTAAATAGGGGAAATAGAGATAAAAGGTAAAGAGCGTTTCCTCAAAATAAGTAAAGAAGAGAACTGAGGAACATAAAGAATTCAGGGAACAATTTAGATTGGTGTATGAAAAGGTACATATTCTCTTTGTAGTCTGAGCCTGGGAGTGGGATACAAAGTTTCAAAAGGTGTTTGGGGGCATTAATGCTATCTCTTTATGTCACACTTTGTAGTTTCTATGTGTGTAGAGATAGAAGAGGCTGAAGCAGAGATGAGAAAGAACCCTTTGCATCTATTCAGAAATACTTTACTACTTGTTCTATGATGAAAACTGCCACGGATGCACCCACTGTTATTGGACTAGTCACTTATGGCTATGCTTCAGAATTCTTCAACTGCAAATGGAAACGTTTTCATCTAAATTATACCAGTGCAGTATCTTGCATACATACGTTGTGTTACCTCTCACTCATCTGACTGCTTTTAAGTACACGGTAGTTTCTGCTTTTGGCAAAATTTGAGTCTAGAGTGTATTTGTCCAATTAGTACATGTCAGACTAAGCTGTTAAGCTGCCAGATTCAGCCCACAGGCCCACACAGACAGATACCCTGGTTTTCATCTGTTAGAAAGAATAGTGTATTACTGCAATTTACAACTCTAGTTAAAAAAATAACAGAAGAGAAGAACTGAACCAAAGCCACCATTCCCATGCATATTTAAGGCAGTGGGTATTAGTCTGCTAACAGTGTGGTCCACCATAGGTATACCAGGGAGGTATCTCTGGAAGATTTAGAGGTGGTGCAAGGGGAAGAAATGACGTCACATGATGCATGACATCACATATAGCTAAAATCCCGGATGTGATATAACTGCCTTGGGTGACACTTTGGCTATCAACCAAAACTCCATGGCGAGTACCTTGGAGTTATTGGGGATGTCCAAAGTGTTGCTCAAGGTGCTTATGTCACACTTGGGTTCAGCTGGATGTAATGTCACACAATTTCATTTCTCCCACCAGTCTGGAGAACAAGGGCAGGAGTCCTCCTACCACAAGTTGGTACATGGCAACCCTAGAAAAAGAAAGGCTACTGTGGCTGCGAGACTGAGCTGCAAGCTTAAGCCTCTGCACTGCATTAGACATAAACAATCAAATTAGAACATAAGAAAATCACTTTGCTACCAGACAAGGAAATATATGCTGTGTGCTACCTTGTAACTTTTGTTTACCAAGTGTTTTGATCTGGACTAAAAATATTTATTCATTCCCCACTTTTCTCCCCAATGTGAAACCAAAGTGGCTTGCTTCATTCTTCCCTCCTCCATTTTATCCTCACAACAACCCTGTGAGTTAAGTCAGACTAAGAGTGTGTCTTTTCATGTTTCCACTCTTCTCACACTTCTGCCCACTACTCTGTACCAACAATCAAATGGGAATCATGATTATACAAAAGCAACTTGTGAGTTGTTAAATGGATATCAAGACACCAGTTTCTGTTCCCCCCCCCACCCCTGTTGCCATACATACAGACAAGCAATGCACCAGGACAATCCAAGGAATGGCAGGTCTTTGTGTACCTCTTATATTCCCATTCTTCCCCCCCCAAATCTTTTTATTGTTTTTATAATGCGAAAACATTACATACGACACATACTTACAAGTATTCCCATTCAAACCTCTCTGTTGAGAAAAGTTACATCAGAGAAAATTCAGACCTATCCCACCCTCAATACAGTCTTGGTGCACTGCCAGCATGCAGGTGAAAGTGGAGAAATAGGACTTTGCTGAATCCGGGGGGGGGGGGGGGGAAAAAATTTTTTCCCTTAAAAATAAAAAAAATAGGGCTTTTGTAAAACCGGGGGGGGGGGGGGATGATAACTATTTTAGCCATTAAAACTTCCAACAAGCTTCCCTAGTCTAAGGCAAGGGAATGCCACACTAATAAAATTCACATGGGGGAAGGGGAGAAGAGTTATCCAGATACCTAGGGCTGAATATAGCACATTACTCATTATCCTTTTACTCTCTCTCTCTCTCTCTGCCAAGCAGAGCGGCTGCTACCTCATTCACCTTGATTTCGACCCACGAGATCTAGAACGTTCTCTGGAAGTAGAATGAGATCTTGACCTTGAACTGGAAGAGCTTCTTGACCTGAAACAACATGAATAATTTTGTTTTGGACTGAGCACTCAAGACTGGGGGCAAATACAGACAAAAATTATTTTATCTTCTTGAGTACAGCAAAGAGGTCTAAGTATAGCATCTCATTAAAATGCCCTAAAGGCCAGACTCCAAAACATCTTTGCTTATGAAATGACTTGTGGTAATCCAGTGGTTTTTTTTTCTTCCAACAGCTGACTACCATAGCATATCACATACTGCATAGTTTCCCAAGGTGTTTGCCATGTAGTATGGAGGCATCATGCTGCTCGAAGAATACAAATTTAATTCCAAGAATTCATTTGCCAACAGCAATAAATGTATTTGCTTTTAACAAAATAATAGGCTTGCTATTTTAAAATATTGAGTATAAATTTGAACAATGATCCAGTGTATTGAAACTATAGATACATATAGATAAATTTTTAATAAAAAGGAGAATGCTTTTCAGCCAAGACCAAAATGCCAATGTGTAAATCACTATCAACAGGTTCAGAATAATCTTTTAAATCCAAGGGTTTCAGGATGTATTTTTAAATAATTTAATGTCATTTAAAAATAGTTGTGATTGTTTATGATCCAACTTATTACAATGAAGTTAAGCATGGGATATGCTGATTGTTGAAGTAATGTAATGAATTTTTTTCAGGTACTTGAAGCATTTTAGATGAAGCCACATATTTCCCTTTTTTATGTACATTATTATGCAAATGACTCATCTTTCACAATTTCCACTGTCTACTGTAGCAGAAGATGCTCCAAAGAGGGTAAGCTTCCTTAACTACAGCATGTTTTTTCTAAGGTTACAAATAGCTGCAGTGCAAAATGGAAGGCAGCTGGGCAGTGTAAAGAAGCAACACATGTGACTCCTGAATTCTATGCATCCATTCTTATTTAAAAGAGTAATCCTACTGTAATATCCCACATTAACTGGCAGCAATTCTGCAACATAATGTCCAACTGGAACACCTATGCCTATGGTCAAGAATTATTACCTACTAAGGATTTATTCTCAAAGAACTCAGGTACATGAACAGATTGGAAATGAAAACACTGTTCAAGATCACATTTGTAGAGTAAGTACCACTAGAAGCATCAAAAATTAAATACTAGTTGGCAGCTACATAAAAGATGCCCTATGATAAGAGTATAGAACACTTATATATTTTCTCTGTATAAAGTGAAATAGCAATTGCTATCCAATGTATCAATGTAGCTTGAAACACCATATAAGTCAGGATAACAGAAAAAAGACCTTCCCACAAAGCAAGAACTTTGTGGAAAACTGCACAAAATATACTAGGACTCCTGGTGAGGAAAGAGTTTTTAAAAAGGTGTTTTTATTTATACATCAAGCGTAATCAGTAAAAGGGATTTTCTATATGTAGAAGACTCAGTACTTACTTAGAAACAGATATAAAACAAAAAATTTCTCCTCTCCAACCCAAAATGTTAAAAAGTTCAACTATGAAATCTGTCTAGCTTAATAAGCAGGGTCCTAAAGAGTAAGGCTAGTGCTTTACCCTCAGCAGTCTACTGCCAAAGTCATATGCTAAAGCGCTTGATATCATAAAACCTAACAGGTATGATCAAGTATCAAGCCAAAGCAATGGTGGCCTAAGAAAGTGTTAAAAATCTACTGTCAAGCCAATCGCTTACACTGCTAACAAGCCAGTACATCTTCTCAAATGTATGACTACCTAAAATTTAATAGATAAACTCAAACTGTGAAAAAACCAGTCACAAAAAAGATGTAAATAAAGAAGTTAGATACTGACATTTTGTCTGGCGTTACCCTTGACCTGTACCCGTTTACCTGGACCTGGACCTTGAGCTTGAGTGGGAGGATGAGTGAGATGAAGATTGTGAATGGGAAGACTGTGATTTAGAACGGCTGCGTCTAGTCTGGGGTTTCTTTTTCTTAGCAGAATCTTCCTCCTCACTGGCATCAAGATTATATTTCGAGAGATCAGCATCATCTTCATCCTCATCCTGGTCAGGAAGAAAAAATTTACACAAGTAACTTTTAGACTAAATAGCTCTTTGTTCCACCTCACATAATATATCATGCAGGTACCAAAAATCTAACAGAGAGGAAATCATAGAACACACTTAAACATTCATTACATGCATTTTGTCAGTGAAAATACTGGGATCAGGGAGTACTCGGTTCAGATACCCACTTGCTTGTTTGATTACAAGAAATGATACAAAATACATAGTTTTACCTCATCCAATTTATATTTTGACAGATCTCCATCCTCATCCTCCTCTTCTTCCCCTTCTGATTCCTTATCTTCAACTTCCTTTAGGATAGATGCAGGGCCAACTGGCTTTCCTCTATATTTTTTCTTTTTGCGACCAAACTAAATAGAAAGCATTTGTAAATGGCTGAAGCATGGACAAAGTCAAACACTGATTTTAACTGAATACCCTTTACAATCTCATTTTATTTTCTTTCATTTCACTGTCCCACTTTCATTTTTTCCTCATTACTACCTGATGATAATAAAAAAATAGTTTTGTAGCCATTTGATTAATTATCGCCTACAGAGATAAACCATGATTTATATAAACTGTATGAATTATGAAGTTTAAAAATCTATGCTGGAATCCAGAGAGGTGATTGAAGAGAGCATCACAAGTTGCATATGCTGTTTCAGCTGCAGCTGTCATGGTTGAAGGAGCAATAATGGTATCTTATAGCTAGGTTGGAGTCCAGTAACACCTTGGAGACCAAGAAGATTTCCAGGGTATAAGCTTTACAGAGGTCCTTTACGCACTTGGATCTCATCCCTGGTTTTGTCAGAGTTCAACTCACAACACAATACCATGCATTTATCCCTGGTTATAACAGTATCCGTTTATCCTGGGACGTGGGTCGAAACCGGGGTTACCTCAGTGAAATGTGGAAGCAAAAAACACCCCAAGATAGTTACAGGGGTGAACTCGAGTATAGTGTAGAATATAAGTTCGGGGACAGGGTTGAACCAGGATTTAAGGTCTAGTGTAGAATCACCCAGAGTCAAAGCACCCTTTGTCAGATATGAGTATCTGAGAGAGCTCTGACTCTGGAAAGCCTGTAGCCAGAAAATCCTGCTGGTCTCCAAGGTGCTACTACACTCGAACCTGGCTGTTTTACTGTAGACCAACACAGCTACCCTCTGAAACAATATTATATTAATTTATATTAATATTTCTTGCATACTGAAGAATTCCTTCACAGGTTTGGTAGAATCACCAATTATAAAATGGAAAAGCTAATTTTTTTAAAGCAAAAGCAAGCTGAACCTCAAATTTCTAGAATTTTTATCCTTGTTTGCATTAAGGCTAACTAGCAGTTTGGTTTCCTTCAACCAATAAATTCCTTATTTTAGTGCAACTATAGAGTGCACAATACAAATTTACAGACTACTTTTATGGATTAGGACCTAACCACCTGCTGTACTTAGATTTCACATCTGAATTAGCTTTTTTAAAAGGTATGCCTATTTATAATGTATGTCCCACCTACCTCATCATATTCACCATCAGATTCTTCACGTTCTATATACTCAACATTCTCTCTTTCATTGAATCCCCCACCATATCCTGCAAAGACAAGTTTCCAATAATCTCAGATAGTATTTCAACACAGGTGCTAAGCATTTTTCAAAAACTGCCTAAAACCAACATAAATTTCTAAATAAGAAAGTCATCATGAAATATGTAGACCCTTGCCATTTGCTGGAGTTCTGTTCTTGGGATCCCTGTCAATATTGGAGGCAGGGGATCAGCTGTCTGCAACGATGGACTGGGGCAGCTGAAATGGCACTGGAAACGCACCCCTGGACGAAATCCCAGACTGGAAAAGCCACATACGGCACCCAGTTTAGCTGCAGCATGGGTGAGCCTACAGCACAGCCTACTCTACAGCACAGAATGCAGAGTATAACTACATGCACAATTAAATTTCGAGGTAGGAAGGGGCAGTTCTGTGGAGGACATTTTTCCACGATAAGCAGACTGAAAATTCTAAGCAGAATTTAAACTTATCTTACCTATGCTGTGGCTTGGATATATTTAAAAAAGTGTGTGGGTGATAACAATCGAATTACCGTAAAGTATTGTGATTTATCTATGTGTTTTATGAAGCTGTATTTGTGTTTTAATATATTTTTAATCCTTTTAATGTAAGCCGCCCTGAGCCAGTCTTCGCAGGGAGGGCGGGATAAGAATCGAATAAATAAATAAATATACACTTGCAAACATAAATATGCACTCCAAGAGTGCTAGAAAGCACATGCCTTTTTAGTAAGAGTTCTTATACATAAAAATACATGGAAAAGCCTTGGATATCTGTTTTTTTATCCCCATAACAGTGCTTAACAACATACAGTGCTTAACAGCATATATTTTTGGTAGTATACATGCAATGCTCATGCAACTCTGAATACAATACTCCTCATCCCAGTAGAATTTTACAATGAAGTAGGGGTTTCTTACTGAGACTGGAGCATCACCTTATTTCCACTTTATCCTCATTTAAAGTTATCAGGTGCTACACTGTCAAACAAATGTCAGTAACATTATCATAATGGACATGGTAGTACTTCTGTGTACACACTGCAGCTGCTGAAATAATCTCCACACCCAATACTTAAGTCTTTACCCCTCTCATCAAAGCCATTCTCAAAAGTTCGACAATATTTTAGAGTAGTTACTGATACAATATAAGAAGCATGGGTTCTGTAAGGGTCTGATGTTTTTAAACTTGTTTATTAAGCAGTGAAGTGGCTAAATTTGCAGATGACACGAAGTTGTTCAGGGTGGTGAGAATCAGGGAGGATTGCGAAGCACTCCAAAGGGATCTGTCGAGGATGGGCGAGTGGGCGTCAACATGGCAAATGGGGTTCAATGTGGCGAAGTGCAAAGTGATGCACATTGAGGCCAAAAATCCTAACTACAAATACACGTTGATGGGGTCCGAACTGGCAGAGACTGACCAAGAAAGAGATCTTGGAGTTGTAGTAGATAGCTCAATGAAAATGTTCAGACAGTGTGCAACTGCAATAAAAAAGGCCAACACTATGCTTGGGATTATTAGGAAGGGAATTGAAAACAAATCAGCCAGTATCATAACGCCCCTGTATAAATCGATGGTGCAACCTCATTTGGAGTACTCTGTACAGTTCTGGTCACCACACCTCAAAAAGGATATTATAGCATTGGAAAAAGTGCAGAAAAGGGCAACTAGAATTATAAAGGGGTTGGAACACTTTCCCTATGAAGAAAGGTTAAAACACTTGGGGCTTTTTAGCTTGAAGAAACGACGGCTGAGGGGTGACATGACTGAGTTTTATAAGATTATGCATGGGATAGAGCAGGTAGAGAAAGAAGTACTTTTCTCCCTTTCTCCCAATACAAGAACTCGTGGGCACTCCATGACATTGCTGACCAGTCGGGTTACAGCAGATAAAAGGAAGTACCACTTCACCCAAAGAGTGATTAACACATGGAATTCACTGCCACAGGAGGTGGTGGCGGGTACAAACATGGACAGCTTCAAGAGGGAATCGGATAAATATATGGAGCAGAGGTCCATCAGTGGCTATTAGCCACAAGGTATAGATAGGAACTCTCAGTCTGGGGCAAGTAATGCACTGTATTCTTGGTGCTTGGGGGTGGTGGAACAACAGTGCGAGGGCTTCTAGTGTCCTGGCCCCATTGCTGGACCTCCTGATGGCACCTGATTTTTTGGCCACTGTGTGACAGAATGTTGGACTGGATGGGCCATTGGCCTGATCCAACATTGGCTTCTCTCATGTTCTTATGCTGAAATGGAACAGAAGACAAAGTCTGGAACACAAAGAAACTTACAAAGGCATGCACAAACACACTCTATTTGTTTTCAAAGTTAACAAAAACAGAAAGTACACACAATACATCTAGCTGCTTAATAATTCTCTGTGTGTTCACTCCAGGTGGGTGTGGGGGGGGGGTAAAGTGCTTATTTTAGTCTCAGCTATACATCAAATACGCATCAGTCCCAGTTTATCTGTAGCACAACTGCCATTTTTAAATCAGAAACACTGCACTTTTTCTTTAGGACAAGCTATTATGATCACAGTCGTTCCCACTGTAAGATGGATGTCAAGAAACAAGGCAACTGTTTCCATGTATAATACTGTGGTCCTAGATGAAAACCCGTTCAACGGGTATCCATTCTGTGGAAACAGACTGATTCCATGTGAACACCCACCATCTCTGGGTTATAGGGCTAATCTATATCAATTACATTCCAATGCTACTGCTGCTCTCTATTTCAACAGAATTTCATTTTACTTCCTTTGTAGACCTTTAAATTCTTTGTATGCAATTACGTATGTGTGGTAATTGACGTAGTTGCATTAGACTGTCTGTACTAGAATACACAGAGTGCTTAACACAAATTATCCTGTCACATTAACACCAGGTGGTGACTGAAAACAAGGACAAGCAATCCTTCCACAGCAGTTGTTTCCTACCTGAAGATTCCTGGAAAATTCAATTCACCAAGTGCTAAAGTTATCCTGGTTTGTTTGTTTTTTGAGATCTATTCCACAGCCTTCTTAGTGGTTCAAGGATCTTTCCACTGTTTCTAAAATCTTTTGATTTAAAGAAGTCTCTTTGTGAAGCTACAAGTGCCAAGACTGACCCATACCCCTCAGAAACTTTACTCTCAGTTGCCATAACCCACAGACACAACGTTGAGACAAAAGCACATGTGAATCAATTATAATGGTTACAGCCTTTGAACCCCAGATGAAGAGTTCCCAATACCCACAATGGCTTTATTGCAAAATAACAAGAGATTGGATGTATACCCCCCTTCACTACCCAAAGGAGTCTCAGAGCATCTTACAATCCCTTCCCCTTCCCACAAACGACAACCTGTGAGGTAGGTGGGGGTGAGAGAGCTCTCTTGAGAACTGTCCTTGAGAAAATACCTCTGAAAGAACTTGTGACTGACCCAAGGTCACACCAGCAGCTGCATGTGGAGGAGTGGGGAATCAAACCTGGTTCTCCCAGATTAGAGTGCACGCTCTTAACCAATTAACCAAACTGGCTTGTCAGGAAAACATGGTTTGTGCATTCTATAAAAAACAATTTTTAAAATTAAATAATCATTCTACCTGTCCTTTCCTCAAGCTTGGCATATTTTGGAGTGTTGCACATATTGCATTCTGATCTTCTTGCCCAGTTAACATTACCACATCTTTTGGAGAGAATGGGGGGAAAAACAAGAGTTAGTGGTTGAAGCACAAGAAGCTCTATTGGCTCACATACAAACAGTTGTCAACGTAAAAAAAATTAAATACCAGAAAATTCTCAGAACTGACACTATAGTAATCTCTTTTAGCAGATTATTGATTCAGACTTTTTTGTGCAATATAAAATCTAGACAGAATCAGCAGTAACCTTGTTCTCATGACTAGCACTACTTAAAGTAATTCAGGCAAAATACAATTAAGAATGACCAAACTAAAGCTAGTATTTGGAGTCAGTAAAAGGCTAAGGAGATGCTGGGGTGGGGGGAGGTGAAATTCAGTGACAAAAGCATGCTGCTCAATCAGGTACAGATTTCAACATGATGATTTGGTTCCCATGGGATATCAATGAAAATAAGAAACTCAGAAACAAAGCTGATGCTGACTGAGATTTTAAATCTACCTCAACTGAATCAAGATTCTTACTAAACTGATAGTGCAAACAGTTTTCAAGATGATGCTAAAAGTTGTCTCACAGCAGTATTGCAATTCAATACATTTTATACCGCTCCTTCAAAAGAAACTTGTAGCCAAAATAGTTTACAAGTCATAAAAACTACAAACTTGGACATACCTTATACTCTAAAATAAAGTATAAGGCTGTGTGGAAATCCCCAGTTCCATTTGTTTTCCATGTGTTTAGGAGGTTTTCAAACAGAGGCCAGATGGCCCTCTGACAGCAATGTGGATTCTGTGAACTTAGGCAGATCATGAGAGGGAGGGCAGGAAGGGCTGCCTCAGTGCTTAATTCTTATGGCTCTTTCTTACATGCCCAAGGAAATGCTGATTGCCACTTTGGGGTCAGGAAACAATTTTTCTCCAGGCCGGTTTGGCCAGGGATCCTGGAGGCTTTTTGTCATCTTCTGGGCATGGAACAGCAATCACTGTGGGTGTGGAGGGGGAGGTATTTGTGAATTTCCTGCACTGTGCAGGGGGTTGGACTAGATGACCCTGGAGGTCCTTTCCATCTCTATTTCTATGATTCTAGGAATGCAAAAACTGAAGAGTTAAGATGAACAAATAGCACACTGATGCTGTCAAGTAAAAATTTATAGCTGATTTTAACATTTTATTTTCTATGCACTATTAAGGACAAAACAACTCAGTAAAATAATTTGAAAAGGAGTTGGTTTTTATACCCAGCTTTTCATTACCCGAAGGAGTCTCAGAGCAGCTTACGATCTCCTTCCTTTTCTCTCCCCACAACAGACACCTGTGACAAAGGTGGGGCTGAAGGAGTTCTGAGGGAACTGTGACTGACCTAGGGTCACCCAGCTGGCTTCATGTAAAGGAGTGGGGAATCAAACCCAGTTCTCCAGATCAGAGACCACCACTCTTAACCACTACACCACACTGGCTCTCATTTGCTACCCCACTAATCCAAATCTACTAAATTGACTGACCTATTGATCAAACTGCTTTAGTCCTCCTGTGCTAGACAGTATGAGAATAGTGCAAAATAAAGGCTGCAATTCTATGCGCACTTACCTGGGAATAAACCCCACTGAATACAACAAAATTTACTTGTAAATAAATATGCACAGGTTCAAAAGATTGAAGGGAGCAAATTAAACTGCAGATGAATAATAATTAACCATAACAAAATGTTTCATGAAAATTAGAAGTGAACTGCAACATAAAAGAATTTTTAAACTAACATACGTTTTACACTGCCAATCATTAGCACTGAAGAGACCACGACTCTTTTCAGCAAGGGTCTTTCCTATCTCAGTCCCTCCAGCTTTCATCATCTTTGCCTCTGTGGTTTTTTCTGAAAACAAAAATAACAAGTTTCAAACATGTGTTTCTTATCTGCCTCTCAAAAACGAAAACTACCATTTTAGATAATTACCTCGGCCACATCTGTTACAACTGGTTCTTCTAGCAAAGTTAACATTTCCACACCTGCAAATAAGAGACATCATTTAAATTTTATGTACATAACTGAATTTTAATCTTTTATTGTGCTATGTTTCAATCTTTTAAATTGTTACACTTACATGCTGTGAGCCGCCCTGAGCCCACTTGCAGGCTAAGGCGGGATAAATATCAATTCAAATAAATAAAACTAAATAAAATAACGAATTTTTTACAACCTAAAGGCTTGGAAGTCCTTCTAGATTCAATATAACTTATTTCCAGTAAGAATGCTTAAGACTATGCTCTTTTTTAATATATTCTAAATTCTCTCAGGGTATAAATTCTAGTTCCTAACGTGCTTTTTTCTCTCATGAAAAAGAAAACCAGACCCACCTAAAGTACACAACTCTGAACTCATAAAGTGGTATAAAATCTCTTCTCCATCTTTTAAACCTACCGACTTGAGTTATTCACAGGGTAATAGTGAACTGGAAGCTTTGAAACTGCAGTGCGTCTTCATACCTGAGAATAGCATTACTAAAGTGACGACTATGTGGATGGGGGTAAGATATCTTACATGACTACATTTTATTCAAAAAAACTTTCTACCTGATGCATTTTAGTTGGTCGTTGGCTTGATTTTGTGAAATGTTTAAGCTATTTATTTCAAACATTTGGATTTTGTCAATTATTGATATTGCAAGCATAAATGAGACTTGCATTGTTCCCTAATAAGACCATTGTTGAAATACAATAATTTATTTTCTACATGTAACATCTCAGTTCCCTACATTGCTGCAATAATAACTGCTACAGCTATCCTTATTAACTTACACTGTTTCAAAAATTACAGCTACTGCTTTATTTTAGGAAGGCACTGTCCAAAAGTCTCAATGCCAAAATAGCAAAAGAAAGCAACAGCTTTCACTAATTTCAAATAAAAATATATTTTGGAGTATTAGCATCAATGTGTCTAATTCTCAATGTGGTCACATTTGCGGAAACTTAAATCCTGAGACTACAGCCGTACAGCACAGATCTTCTGCAAAGCAAAAAATTGTCCCAGATTTGCAGAAAACTCTGACATTAAAACACATACATACACAAAACCAACTACTGGAGGGAGGTTAAAAACCCAAAACAATAAAAGCAGCACTTGTAGCTTTAAGAAACAAATGCCCTCAGTGGCTATTGCAAGTCAACCACAACAATAATGCCAACTTTCAAATCTTACTGAAAGCAGCTAAAAGGTAGGCAGAGGGGACAGGGACTTTTTCCAGGGCTGTTTTGTTCTTTGAGGAAGGACTCACCAGGGCCAAGCCTGGCAGCAACCATCAGATGACTTACTACCACCTCACTTGCATGACTCACTCAAACACACCTGCCTGCTACTGTTCAACAGCAGCCACTCCACAAAAGCTGGTGGTGTAGGGTTACAGTTTCAAATTATGATCTGGGAGACCCAGGTTCAAATTCTCACTCTGCCATGGAAGCTCACAGAGTGATCTTGGACCAGTTAGACATTCTCAGTGTAACCTCACAGAGCTGTTCTAAGAAAAAATGACTGATGTAAGCTGCTCTGGGTCCAAATTATAGAGGGAAATGGGCTTTTAACCTGAAATAATTTATACATCTTTAGTTGGAAGACAGCTAAGTCAGGCTGAATGGGGAGAAGGAAGCAGCAAAAGAAAGGTCCTCACGCAGGTTTCCCAAGTACTTACTGTGATTCGGGGGGGGACACAGACGTCTTCGCAGTATCATTCCCGCGGGGACAACAGACGCTCCGCACCATGCTGTTGCCAGGAAGTGACGCCGGGCAACGCTCAGCCAATGGGGCTGGAAACTCAATGGTACCATCGAGTTTTCAGCCCCATTGCCAAAGCATCGCCAGGCGTCACTCCCTGGCGGTGGCATGGTGCGTTACAGGGAGGAATGGTCTGGCCGGGGAGCATGTTTCCCCCACCGGATCACGGTAAGTACTTGGGAACCCTATCCTCACATCAGGAGTTGACAAGAGAAAAGAAAACAGTGTGGGAAAGGAGATACAGGGGAAAATGAGGTTCATCTGACTCCTCACTGCACAATTGGTTCCAGCCCAATGGACAGTACCTGCAACTGGGTCATAGTTTTCCCAGGTAAAGGCTGCCAGGGGGAAGGAAAGACGAATAGTTAAAGAGGGGGAGCAAATAAACGCAGGCTGGTTGATGGGTGGAAAGGAGACTAGGAAGCAGGAAAAGGGGAGAGGCTCTGGGGGCTCTTGGGAAAAGGAAATATTAGGGGAGAAGAAAATGAGATGTTCCCTTCCAGTCCTTGTGGGTCCCTGCCTGTAGCCATCTGCATAGCAAAACTTGAAAAAGGTAAAAGTTTTCCCAACTTTACAGCTCAGTATATTTAAAACACAAAGAAAAGGGTTTTGCACCACTATTATGACCTCAGGAAGTTGTAAGGTTTATGTGCATTTGACTTTAATGGGATGACACTCGACCAACGTAACAGACCCACTTTGGGAACACTTACATCACTTTCTATAGCTAAGGCTGCTGAGCAGAGAGTAAGAAGTTTTGGATTTCTCTGCAGGTGCAGATGATGATGCAGGGTATGGAAGCAATAGACATGTAAACCCCACCAAAGGAATAGTGGATGAATGCTGTTTCCAGAGCTGTGACCTGAAGCGCCTGGAGATGTACTGTGCACCTGCCAAACCACCGAAATCAGCACGGTCTGTACGTGCTCAGCGCCATACTGATATGCCTAAAGCACAGACTGGTAGTGGGCAACAGACATGGCCAAGTATAGGAAATTAGCAGGTACGGTGCACCTGTCAAACCACCAAACTACCGAAATCAGCACAGTACAGTCTGTACGTGCTCAGCGCCATACTGATATGCCTAAAGCACAGACTGGTAGCAGGCAGCAGATGCGGCCAAGTATAAGAAATTACCAGGTTTAACTTAATTGGGTTAGGGCTTAGAAATTATAAACTGATTGGGGATTGTTTAGTTGTCTAATTTTAGTTAATAATGAATTGATCTGATGTATTTGATAGTTTGTTTTCTCCTAATGATTATGGAATGAGGTGTCCATTTTCCCAATTGATTATGGATTGATTTGTTACATGCCCTGTAACTGATTAATTACTTTCAATTAATTAATTTGGTATCTAAATTTGAATCCAGAAATTAACAAGAGGATTCTAGCTGTCTAAATAGACTGCTAGATTAAATTGTCAGGGCTATATCAAATGTAGGATAAGAGGGAGCCAACACCTGCTCTTAAGAACTGCTCAGAGGGTTTGATGCCCAGTTGGTATCAGGTTCACAGCTGGTTTGCAGCTGGCAAAGATCACCAGACAGGATGACGACCAGGCACAGGATTCCAGTGCTCCTGGGGGGGGAGGGGAGTATAGTGGTGGGACTAGACATGGAGTTAGGGGAAGGAAGTGGAGAACTAACTTAGCTCGGCCCCCTTCCAGTCTATATCCCATCCCAAAGGTAGTAGGCAGTGGGGTTAGGACGATTGACCCTCCTCCAACATTGGTGTTGTGCAACGCCAGGTCTATAAACAAGACTATGGTCCTTCAGGATGTTCTGCAAGAGCAGAATACAAACCTGGCGTGCGTGACCAAGACCTGGGTGTGAGAGGGAGAGACAGTATCTCTCTTACAGTTAGCCCTTCCTGGGTTCTTGGTCCTTCACCAATCGCAGACTAGGGGGTGGGGAGGAGTGGCTCTATTCATCCGGGAGGCTTACTCCTTCAGAGAACTCCTGCCACCAAGGATCGCGGGCATAGAGTGTGCCGGTCTAATGTGGGAAGCTGGGGAGAATGTGGCGATTTGGCTGGTGTACCGATCACCTAACGCACCGGCTAATAGCCTACTGTCCCTAGTGGAGGCCATATCAGGCTGGGCATTGGAACACCCTAGGCTGATAATCTTGGGTGATTTCAATGTCCATGCCGACGATGCGGCCTCTACTCAGGCAACGGACCTGGTGTCGTCCATGGAGGCTTTAGGACTCTCCCAATTTGTAACGGTCCCCACTCACTAGGCTGGACACATGCTCGATTTGATCTTTGTAGCAGGGGTAACAGTGGACTGGATTACTGCTTTGGCAGTACCATGGTGAGACCACTTTGCCTTGAAGGCCAGTTTGAGTTCCTCACTCCGACCCTGTTTGGGCGACGAGCCAATTTTGGCTCACCCGCGGAGCCAAATGGACCCAGTGCGGCTTCAGATGGCTCTTCAGGATCCGGAGCCCCCTGATGGCTCATTGGATGAGCTTGCAGAGGACTGGCATAGCCGACTCTCGACAGCCATCTACGAGATCGCTCCCCAGCGCCCTCTGCGCCCCCAGTCTAGGCTTGCTCCATGGTTTACCCAGGAGCTATGGCTGATAAAACGGGGGCTAAGATGGCTAGAGAGGCAGTGGCAGCACGCTTGTGACATAGCTATAAGAGCATCTTACTGGATGTTTATGAGATCCTGAGATGGCAGTCAAGGCTGCTAAGAGACAGTACTATACAACTACGATTGCATCTACAAGCTCACATCCAGCCCAATTGTTTAGAACAATTTGGTCTATTACTGCTCTGCCACAAAGCAGACTAAATGCTAGGGAATCGGATATTGGCTGTGAGGCTTTTGCGAGCTATTTTGCAGATAAAGTCTTGTTGCTTCACCGCGACCTCCCTGCCACAGTTGGTACAGTGAGTGAACTCGAGGCTCCATGCACGTCTTCTAGTTGTGTTATGGACCATTTCAGCCTGCTCAGCCTACAGGAAGCTGACAAACTGCTCCTAACTGTTCACCCTACCACGTGCTCCCTTGACCCATGCCCTTCATGGCTAATTAAAGCTGGCCATGAGGGGTATCGAGGTGCCGTGCAGGAAATCATCAACAAGTCCCTTTTGGAGGGGCTGTTCCTGGAGGCACTTAAGGAAGCAGTGGTGCTCTCTTTAAAAAGCCAACCTTGGACCTGGCTGAATTGGCCAACTACTGGTCGGTTTCCAACTTGCCATATTTGGGCAAGATAATAGAGAGGGCAGTGGCAGCTCAGTTACAAGACTTCTTGGATGACGCTTCCATTCTAGACCGCTTCCAGTCTGGCTTTAGCCCGGGCCACGGGACAGAGACGGTACTGGTTGCCCTCACAGATGACCTCCAGAGTCATCTGGATCGGGGCAGATTGGCAGTGCTGTTGTTAGATCTGTCAGCTGCGTTCGACACAGTCAACCATCAGGTACTGGTCCACCGCCTCACTGACACTGGAATCCAGGGACTGGCCTTACAGTGACTTGCTTCCTTCCTCCAAGGTCTGGGACAAAGAGTAGTGCTGGGGGATCAGCTGTCCCAAAGGCACCCACTGGAATGTGGAGTGCCCAAGGGGCAGTGTTGTCTCCGATGCTTTTCAACATCTATATGCGCCCTCTTGCCCAGATTGCCTGAAGGCATGGGCTGGGATGTCACCAGTATGCGAATGACACCCAGCTCTATCTGCTGTTTGGCGGTCAGTCCGACTCCAAACCGGAAGACCTAGACCGGGCATTACAAGCCGTGGCTGGGTGGCTTAGGCTGAGCCCGCTGAAACTGAACCCAACGATGACGGAGGTCCTGTGCCTGAGTCAGGGTGGTCCGAGGGTAGGGATCCCGCTCCCAACCTTCGATGGGGCCCGACTGGTGCCAGCACCGGAGATTAGGAGTTTGGGAGTGGTCCTACATGCCTCCTTAACAATGGAGGCCCAGGTAGCAGCCACTGCCAGATTGGCCTTTTATAATCTTTGGCTGATCAGGCAGCTGGTTCCCTTCCTCAAACGCAACGACTTAGCAACAGCGATCAAATCAATGGTCACCTCGAGACTGGACTACTGTAATACCCTCTACCTGGGGCTGCCCTTGTCTCAAAACCGGAAGCTGCAGCTGGTGCAAAATGCCACGGCTAGGCTTTTGATGGAGTTCTCTATCTGGGAGCACATCGAGCCAGTGTCTGCCTATAGCATACCAGATTCATTTCAAGGTGCTGGTTCTAACCTTTAAAGTCCTTTATGGCTAGAGCCCTACATACCTGAGGGACCACTTTTCCCCTTATATACCCCAGAACAGAGGGACCACCTTTCCCCTTATATACCCAAGAACAGGCTGGGCCTCCTGAGTCTCAAGGAGGCCAGGCTATCAATAACCAGGGCCGGGGCTTTTTCACTCTGGTGGAATGAGCTCCCAGAAGAGACCTGGGCCCTGCAGGACCTTTTGCAGTTCCGCAGGGCCTGTAAAACGGAGCTCTTCCACCAGGTTTTTGGAGCTGCTGCCACCACTAACTATTGATGGTTCAAAGTGGAGAGCCCAGTTTTCCTGGGATTCAACCTATAGCCTGAGACAGCCGCCTAAGTTGATCTAAACGAGCAAGAGCCGACTGCAAATAAAGAGTCCGAGTAATAACCACTGTGAATTATTTGATATAGATACTAACACTTCAATATGTTTTAATATGAATAGTCAGAATTGTCTTATTATTAATGTTGTTACAGTATTTTACTGTAATTTTATTGTAACTTCATGCTGTTTTGTAACCCACCCTGAGCCGGCCCTGGCCAGGAGGGCAGGATATAGAAATTTAACAAATCAAATCAAAAGAAGACGTAAACGTTTTAAAAAAAAGCAGAACAGAGCAAAGCCTTCAGCTTTCAGTGGGAGTTACAACACAGACTCCCTTCCTGAACCACAAACATAAAGGCTGACTACTTGTTGAGCAACGAGTACGCTACCGGGGGGGAGGGGTGGGGAAGAGAGAAAACGTAACTAAACTCTCAGCTCCTAGCTTTGTTCGGGTGAAGGGGGAAAGGGAGCCGTGTGCTTCTCTTCCCCGCGGCAGTCCTAGACAGGCACATCTCACGTCAAGGCCCCGCCGCCACCAGAGTCCCTCGTAGGCCCAGGCAAAAACAAGGCCTTCCTTCGCACACCTCAGTACTCACTTTTTGTCCGGGCAAATCCAGTCTCCATCGCTGACACGGAAATTCTTAGTCGACATCTTGGAAGCGCAAAACGGTCAAAGCCTCCCCCTTTCGCCTCAGCTCACCGCACGGAAACGAAGCGGACGACAACGACGCCAGCAACACCTCCTCGGCGGAGAGCGATAAGGACCCCAAGGTCCTGCCTATGATAGGCCTATCAATCGCAGCGCCTGTTTCCAAGATACCCAATCCTGACAACATTCTTTCCGTTTCAGGACGTAAAAGCTTACGGCTTTGCAGGTCGAGCCGCAGAGATACCCGGGCCGCCAAAACGTTTTTGGGGTAACCCAAATCTAATCAGGCATTTAGTTAGACGACTCTACAAGTATAACAGGAGCAAACGAAGGAGGCGCGAAAAGAGACCCGGGCTTGTGGAGGACCTTACAGCTCTCGCGGGTTTAGCAAGGAGATAAGGAGGGGAGTACAGAGACCGGCGATACGTTTCTCCTGTTCTCTTTTTGTAGCCGAGTTTGATTAACGATTTTCAAAATGGGGTTGCTCTTAAAGGTGAATCGATATAAAAAACAGATCTTGGTAGTAGCTATGTTTTGAAGCGAGATCTCAGGTGCTGATCTCCGCAGCAGGCTTCTTCTCCTACTCCCCCGGTACAAGACACCAATATTGGCTATATTTCCTATTTAGACAACGTTCTAATAAGTGTGCGTGTTGCTTTAGAGAAGGAATATACGTGTCGATTGTGGGCTAGGAGACCTACAAGACCAGCAGCTTGTTCAATTGATTTTTTTAAAAAAACTAGCTTTGAATATATAAAAGTGCCTGGCCATCCATACGGAACAGCATATTGGTGTCCAGCAGCCATTCCCCTCCCCTTGCATTTTAACATCACTTTCTTGATTTAAAAAAAATGTATTTATTGTTTACAAGGAAGTTAGCACACAGAGCAAATTAAAGTACTGAAGGAAGGGTAGAATTGAAAAGGTAACACATAAGTAAAATGAGGGAATACTAGGTTTGTATTCCAAACCAGATTAGCCACAGTATATATTCTATGGCTATTTTAGGGTTGAAACTTCATTGGTAAATCAGATGATAAGTCATTGACATGTTATACTGTTATAGAGCCATTACAAGAAACAGAATAAGCATCCTGTTTGCAAATGTATTTGGTTGGGACTTACCACTGCCCTTGCAAAGTGGCAATATTTGCAGTAGATTTAATATGCAAAAGATAGAAATAGTAACTACTATTTCTTTTAGAACAGCAGTCTTTAATCCCCAGGCAGCAGCATGAGAATCACTGAGATGCAAGCATTTTATATGCTTTCACATGACAGTAAAAGGACAGCTAGAGTCTCTGAAGTACCTGTGCTCCTCTTAGCATGTACACAATGAGAGGCAGGAGGGAGGGGCTCTTACTATCTACTCATGTGCACTAGTTCTTCATGTGCAAGTCCTTCCAAAAGGCAGCCCCCAGTTACAGCTCTGTAAGGACTTCTGGGACAGCTAATGAGGTTATTTGACTCACTTGAGTCTCCTGACCCATTGGCTGAAAACCACTGCTTTAGAGGTATTATATTTTCCCATCTAGATCTTCTTTTGACATCTTACATAAAAATAGGTTACAGATGATAAGTGATAAGGACAAAGGGAGGAAACAAACAGATGGAGAGTAGCAGGTGGCTCCCCCCCCCCAGTGTTCAAGATGACATGATAAAGTGTTTGCTAAGAGCTGATACTTGATTATTAGGCAACGTAATGTAGCCCAATATAGTAGCTCCCAGGAAAGACCAGTATGAGTGCACCCCCCTCCAAAGATCCGTTTGCCCACACAAAACCAAGGGCATGGGAAACTATTCTCTACATATAATCTGACTTAAGACAGCAGGACTGTGAGATCAGGCTTCAGATTAGATTAGATGACAGCATTGATACGTATTGAAATGATGTAGTTTTGGCACTTGTCTGATCTATCTGGGTGCCTTTTAGTCTGTTGAGCCCAAGGATGTGGACAAGATTCTTGGACAGATTATACCTACCATCTGTGTTCTCAACCCTTGGGCTATGGTGTCACCAATATGCAGATGATACCTAGCTCTACTTTTCTTTTCCTTAATTCTGAGGATACTGTTGATGTTCTGGAGGGCAGCGATAGCGGCAAATAACAAGCAAGCTGGCAGAAAAAGAACATGGCGACGGATTGGTGGCAAAAACGGCAGGCAACTCGTGGAGGCACGGTCCAGGCGGCGTGGAGGCGTGGTGACGTAAGTGTGGTCAGAGCCTGCGGGACAGAGACCAGTGCGACTCATCGCGCAGCCGCGCACCACGGAGGGCCATCCCAGGGGAGCTGAGCCGAAGAGAACAGACCTCTGCCGGAAAAAAGACACTACTGCTTGGTTCCAGGAAGACCCGCCTCAGAAAGAAAAAAGATCTACGCTGTTTAAGGTGCCTGGTAAGGCATACATCTCCCCTGAATATATGTGGCCCTAGTTAGATGATTAAATATATGTGTAAACCGCTCCGAGCCTTCGGGAAGGAGCAGTATAGAAATGTGATTAAATAAATAAATGTTCCGAATTACTGCTTGGAGTCAGTAATGGGCTGGATGAGGGTGAACAAGCTGAAGCTTATTCCTGACAAGACAGAGATTCTCCAGGTTAGTAAAAAGGCAGACCAGGGGCTTGAGATCTCTCATTTTGGATGGGGTTATGGTCCCCTTGAAAAGCCAGGTTTGCAAGTTGGGAGAGCAGAGCTACTCAACACAGCTGTCACATTAGACAACCAGTTGGCTGAGGTGGTCTGGAGTGGTTTCTCCCAACTTTGGGTGGCGCATCAGCTGCACCCATAGCTGGCTCAGTCGGATCCACCTAAAGTGATCCATGCCTTAGTTACATGTAGACTGGAATATTGCAATGTGCTCTACTTGGGGCTACCCCTGAAAAGTGTTCATAAACTGCAGCTGGTACAGATGCAGTGATTAGACTGCTGCTTAGGACCAGCTGTCAGAACATGTGACTCATACTGCAGCAATTATGTAGCTACTGATCCACCAATTCAAGGTGTTAGTTTTAACCTTTAAAGCCCTACATGACTTGGGACTGCATATCTGAAGGACTGTCTTCTCTCATATGCTCCAGCCCAGGAGTTTATATCACAGGGACAGATCCTCCTGACTGTCCCATCAATCAAAGAAGCTTGTTTGGTGGGTACACGAGAGGGCCTTTTCAGTAGCAGCCCTACAATTATGGAACAACCTCCCCAGGAAGTGTGTGGCCTTCTCACTTTCCATCTTTAGGAGGCAGCTGTAGATGGTTTTATTTAGGACTACATTTGATTAAAGTAGTCCTAAGTCATGATCTTAAGCTTTTGTTTTATGTATTTTTGTGTAGTTTATTTTATGTATTCTATTGTAAGCCACCTTGAGCTCCATATGGAGGAAAGGCAGCTAATAAATGTTTTAAATCAATAAATAAGCAGTATTACCAGCATTCAAGTTGTGTTTCTGCCAGTAAAAGGCAGGGGGTGGGGAAAGGGCCCTTTCTGGGGCTGTGGTGGCCTTTGAGGAAGGACTCCTTGGAGCTAGCTGGGCAAAAGCCACACAACTTGTTACCATGCAACTTCCATGACTTATCTAGGCTTGGCTGCTCACTATTATTAAACAGCAGCCATCACATGAATGCCAGTGTGGTGTAGTGCCTAGAATTTCAGAGTAGAATATGGGAGACCCAGGTTCAAACCGTACTCTGCCTTGGAAGGTCACTGGGTGACTTTGGGCTAGTCACACACACTCAGCCTAACCCATCTCATCAGAGGATAAAATGGAAGAGAATGATTTAAGCTGCTGTGGGTCCCCATTGTGGACAAAGGTGGGGTAGAAATGAAGTCAATAAAATATAGCTGAAGCTGGGCAGCAGATTAAAGCTAGGTGAGTGGGTGGGAAGGAGAGGAGGAAGCAGGAAAAGGATAACATATGATGGCTGCCAGGACAAGAGAAGGAGGAAATAGTGCAGGGAAAGGGGATACAGGGGAAACTGAGGTGCCCCTCATATGTCCTTGCAGTGCAGCTAGGCCTGGCTGCCAGCACCACACAACTGCGTCAACCAGAATTTTCCCAGCTGCTGGGGGAAGGAAGGAGAGAAATTGAAGGGGGGGGGGAGATAACAGGTTTGGTTGGCTGGGAAGGAAAGGAGAAAGCAGGAAAAGTTGAGAGGGTATGGGGGCTTTCAGGGAACAGAGAGGAAACATGGGAGAAGGGAAAATGAGATGTTCCCCTCACAAATCCTTAGGGGTCCTCCACTTCTAATATTTTACTCATGAAAGAATATTTTCCCATTACTGTCTCAAGAATGATACCATGTCTAATCAATCACCCTTCCTGCACCATCAAAAGTATTCAGGTACACCTTCTCTGTAGTTTAATTTCATTTTTGTATCACAGGCTTGTACCTCAGTTGTCTTATCAGTAACTGGCATATTGTCTACCAGTCTAAGCCAGAAACCAAAGTTCTGTAGGCATCCACATAAATTCAGGTGTATAAGAAGTGCAATAACAAGCCCTTCTACTCTAGATAGCTATCCCATTGTCCTTACTACAGAAACCTAATACATTGGACCCCTCCTCTCCATGGCCAATACAGTATGGTTTGTTCTGTGTTTTGCTTTACTTCCCCCCCAGGTTTTGGTCTTTGAATCTCTACTTTGTTAGAGTGATAAAATAACTTGTAGGTTGAATACTTTGTCTTCTTTACATGTGTTTCTGTACTTAGGATGACTGGGATTCAGCTATAAATTGGACTGGAATGGTTCTGATTGGAACCCAGTGCTTGTGCCTAGTCTGTACAGGTGTAGGGTGTTCTGACATGACAGATCGTAGCCTGACCCTGACTCTTGAAAACAGGGCTAAATCCATGCATCAGTCCTTTGTGCACCTGATACTAGCAAGTCATAATGCAGCTGTTTCTATAGTGGTTCTCCATCCTTTTGCATGATAGAAGTTATCCCATGCCCTGTTCATTTACTTTATCAGGAACGTTTTGCTGAACTTGCAGAACGAAACTGGGGTGTGTGTGTGTGTGTGTGTGTGTGTGTGCTATTTCCATGTAGTGTGATTTCTGTATAAACAAGGTGTTCCTATGTTTGGTGTAGTGGTTAAGTGTGCGGA